GTCCAGGTGGTGAGATCTGGAATCATGTAGGAGATGGACCTCTGGGCATGCATGTGGTAGATTATCTGGGTTAATTGAGGTGGAAAGACCCACCCACTGTGGGTGGCACCATCCCCCAGGTCCTGTATTGTATAAGTAGGGGAGAGTAAGCTGAGCATGAGCTTTCAGCCTTGCTTCCTGAGAGCACTTGGAAGTGGGTGACTTCCCCAGCATGATGGACTGTGAACCAAAATTGACTTTCTCTTTTGAAGTTGCTTTCCTCAAGATGTTTTTATCACAGCAGCAGGAAAAGTAAGACACACACCAGGCAGTGTAATGGTATTGTTATGCACTTTTGTATGTGTGTATGCAGACAAAATTTAAAGTGACTACTTTTCAAAACAGTTTTGAAGCTGGATGCAAAACTGTCTAGCAGAAATACAAGTAATGCTGATGAAAGGGGATACCATTCTCCTGGGGGAATTTGAGCCAGATTTAAGACTGAAGCAAAGGTTTAGATTTAATTTAAAAATTCCCCGCCAAAGACATGACCTTCATTTTTTTCCCATGAGATGTCTTTTAGAGCCTGCCTGCAAAACGAATTCAACTCACACAAGAATGTAAATCAAGTGAGACTTTGAAATAGCATATGCTACTTACTCGTTTCATACATAAGTTGGATAGTGGAGTTTAGGTTGCAACAAACTTCAGGATACCCAAGAAGACCTTTTATTTCAAGCCTGAAATGATTAGATGATGAAAACTGCTCTTTAATAATTAAATGTGCCATCTGTATAAGGCAGGGTGACCTTTCACCCACGGTCTCTCATGCTGCTCTAGAATTTCTGCAGTTGGCACATATGGTATCAGAGGTCCATTGATATTCTTCCTTTGAAATATTAGACTTAAGGCAGCTGTTTTTGTGCTGCCAGTTTTCATTGCAATGCAGGCTTTAAATGTCCTTGGCTTGTCATTTTGAGTTAGCATACCTTAATCACAAATCTCACCATAATATAATTCAGCCGATGCCTGAAACTCAATATAGTGGAACATTTGCTGAATGGTGCACTTAGCAACATGCACCAACCAGAATGTATGTGTTTTCCATTGAAATGTCTTTTTCGTGCTATATATGTGCCCTCAGAAATGTCTTGTAGATTATAAACATTCCTTTTTCTATAACAACAGAATACCAACAATTTCTGTTATGCTCCCCCATCCTTATTAGGAATGTACAAGGACTGTGACATTTGGAGAATTAACTGCTCCAAGGCTTAGAGATTGGTAGTACTACTAAAATATTTATGTGACCTTGTCATCTTGTCAACATGGTAATTGGACAGCCATGATGAGAACACTTGTCTGTTTGTCTTAAATGTCTTATCGGGTACCTTCTACAGTCCTGCAAGTCCTTTTACAATGGTCAGAGTGAAGGGATGGCCATCAGTCACCATAAGCACAGTTTTCCTGTGTCTCTAGAAGAGATGCAGGCACTGGCTGGAAAACACTCACTTATTAACCTGTAGCAGATGGGGACATTTTTGTCTGCTGGCCTTCGACAGACCATTTATTTAAAAGTTCAGCTGTCATGCTACATTTGAATGCATTTAGGGTTGATCTTAGTGCTGCCTTTGGAGATAAATGTGACTCTCCACTTCCATTTACAGTCTTTGTATGGTTGTTTAGCCAGATCAGAGGTAAATATAGTAGGTTTATTTTTTTAAAATATGCCTATATTTTTGTCAAACTGTTACAGAAGCAGTCCTAGAAAATTGGTGTTCAGATTTGCTCCTTACCCCCTAACAACCAGGAATCAAGAGATTTTTATCTCATTTGCTTTGCTGATACATGTATTGTTCAAAATTAGAATTTGAAAATTTGAACTTGAGATAGAAATTCACTGAGAATTAGACATAACATGAAATGGGTTGCATTAACCCTCTCCCTCCCAGTAAGTTGTGAAGATATAAAATCAGTATGCATTCATTCTTTCGTTTATGTACAAATACTTATTTTATGAGTTTCTCCTATAGTGGGGTATGGGAGTATTATCATCACAGATGGGACATTTGAGTGTGTCACCATCCTTTGTTCTTGTAACTCCTGCCACACCTCTATTTTCACTGACGCAGAGGGGTAAGGACCAACAAAGAGTAACAGAGATGCTACTCCATCTTTGCAGCCACACCCACTCCATGGACCAGAACACAACGAAACTAAAAACATGCCATTGTTGTTGCTGCCAACAGGTGGCACTAGTCATCACTTTAGACATTTATGAATAGGATTTCTTCAGTTTGTTGACTATTTCCATCTTTTGAAAATGTTTACATTTACCTCTGTACCTGATAAGTGCAAATATATAAGAAAGTACTTGAAAGCCATTTTGATGGGCACACATGACTAAGGTGAGGGCAGAGATTACTTGAGAAGCATGGAGAAGAGAGAAAATAGGATTTGTACATTGTGTGGGGGGTGGGGCCAGGAGTCATTTTGAAAGACAGAGAGTACACTGAACAAAATAGTAAGCCGAATGATAACAGAGAAATTCATCAAACTGTGGCAAACTATTAGGGTGTTTCCTCCAGATTTGCGTGTTGCAGTCCTGGTGACAAATTGGAAACAGGGACTCTGAGGAGCCAATTAAGGATGGATGATGTCCTACAAGCGAGGTCCTAAGCTTTGAGCGCCGAGTGCTCATGGGAAGAAGAGATGCTAGGGGTTTGTGTGCACAGAGGTTAGCACATACGATGTGAGGACGTAGCCAGAGAAGCCACCGCAGAGGCCAGCCTTGCCAGCGCCTGATCTCAGACCTCTAACCTCCAGAACGGCAACAAGTTCTGTTACTCAAGTCGACCAACCTGTGGTATGCTCCTATAGTACTGCTAACAGATCACAGTCACGAGGCAACCAGAATCCTGAGTGAGGCTGAACGTGTTGGCTAACACAACACCATTTCCCAGATCTCTTCTATCAGTGTTTCTGTTAGTTTGGGTCCTGTGAGAATCACCTGCCAGAATATGTATGGATTATACAGACAGACGGTCATTGGGGAAACACTGGGCAAGATAAAGGGGAGAAAGCTCCAGAAGGCAAGAATCTTTGAATGCTCATACAGTTGTAACCTGTGAGGGGAGAAGAAAAAAAGTTGGTTGGCAGTGGTTCAGAGCACTGCACAGTTCCAAGAAAGTTTCAAATAGATTTATGGCGAGTCTGCAAGTTCAACTCTTCCACCAAAGGTGTTCCATATTAGTATCCCTACCGTGTTTAGTCTTGACTGAACAATTTGCAGGAAGCATAGCATTGGGATGAATATGTAGAGGAATCTGAGCCACAGCAGCTGAGGTAATCAGTCACTTATGCTTTGATACGGGCATTTCACAGCAGACTCTATATCAAGCCAGATTTTAGCAGCCATTAAGACCATATCCTTCCAAGTTTGAAACCAGAGGAAGCTTGTATCCTTCCCCCAGCCTTCTGAAAAACTCTGAGAGGGTCTTGGAATGGATACACTTAAATCATTTGCCCACCTCTGAGCCAGGAAAAATTCCCTGCCTTGGTTTCCTCAGGACTAATATTTCATGCTTCACTTCCATGTTGGATTGTGTCATAAGAGCTAATGAGCATCAAGAAGGACACTTACTGAGTACACACACATGTGTGCATATATATGTATATATATAGATACATATACATACGTGCGTGTGCGTACAACAAACATATGTAATTCTATATCCCCAGAATATACCTATTTTTCAGTATTTTTATTTCTTGTAACTTTGCCCAGGTTGATTTCCAAAGGCAGAAGCAATTCACATCTGTGCAAAGGTAGCTTTCCCCACATCTTCACCAGCTGTGTTAGTTTCCTTTATAAATGTTTGCCACCTGATTGATAGACCACTATAGCTCATAAGTGCAGTGATTTACAGATGTCTTGTACTAGCGATGATCTCTCCTCAGTACTTATTCCCTAATTAGACTTTCTTTTCTAAATGCACCCCTCCTATCTCTGCTTATTTTCCCATTTTGCCTTTGTGCTTCTTTTGTTTGTAAACACGTATTTCATATTACAGCATATAGTCCTCTGTTTGCCTCACCAAAAGGCAAGGGACAAGGAACCTGAACTCTTGACCATGTTTTTCCTTCCTTCATATTTATGGTCAGTGTTAGATACTTCATTGACAAGACACAATATAGGTCAACATGCCAGGAATACAGGAAACCACTCCACTACCATTTTTAAAAACTAAACAAAATGATCCTTACTTAAGGGCACATTTCCATCACTCCCCTGTCCACCTGTGGTTCTCTACATTCGTACCAGTCAGTAATGCTCCGGACTCACCTTTCCAAACTGTTATATTCCCGACAGTTGATTTTTTGTTGTTTTTTTGTGTTTTGCTTTTACGAGACAAGGTTTCTCTGTATTGTTTTGGAGGCTGTTGGTCCAGCCCGGCCTCGAACTCACAGAGATCCGCCTGCCTCTGCCGCCTCCCCAGTGCTGGGATTAAAGGTGTGCGCCACCAACGCCCAGTTTTTTTTTTCCTGACAGTTGATTTTTAAACAACATTTAAAGGGCAAGTTTACATTATTGCCATTATATATTATAACTCCTAAATAGATGATTATGGAACTAAGAGAGGTTCCTCTATACACTTCCTAAAACACACCACACATTATGCATTAGAGTACATCAACTGTCCCCAGCCAAGTCAAGTTTTCCGACCATGAGTTTCGCTGCATGCCGTGTACCATCCAGGGAGAGATGAGGGAGTGAAGAAGATTCATTTACACCCGAGGAATGCTCTCCAGAAGCGCCAGTCACTTTATGTGCTGTGAACCTGGAAATGAAAACCTAGTCCTTTTATCAAAGAATCAGCCGCATAGAAGTAAAAACAAGAGGCTTCGGGGGCAGGGTGGGGGATGGGCGGAGAACGAGACTGCCTGTGGCGTTCAGGGTCTCGTGCGCACCAGGAGTGCCGTCTCAACGTTCTCATTCTCGCCTGAACATTCTAAGGTTCTGCTAATTATGCTGGCGTGCAAGGGTCAGAACAGGAGGGCTGAAGGCCCAGGGCTGGGCGGGGTCGCTGGAAGGATCATCCTAAGAGCCTAGGGGGCGAGAGGAGCCATGTGTTGGCTGAGGGCCTGGAGCCAGATCCTCCTGCCGGTGTTCCTCTCGCTAGCTCTCATCCAGCTGTTTATCAGCTTCTCCGACCATAAATTAACTAAAACCCACAATCACTGGAACCGGCAGTTACAAGCAAAATACGTTGAAACGGGTGAGTGACCAGGCAGGGTGCTGTCACAGTGCCCCACTGGCTTTTTTGGTTAGGGCATCCTGGCTGGCTCAATAGTCCTTTTTCAAACTTTCCATTTGGTGGTGGTGGTGGAGGTGGTGATGTTTTGAGGAAATCTAGTTAACATTGGACTCGTTTTGTTTCCACTGCCTAAATTGTATTGATGAGAACAGGAGGTAGAAACAGGCTATGCAGTTCAGTATTTCAAAACAAAACAAAACAAAAAACTGTAGAAAAGTGACCAGTTCCTGCTTCTTGGCAGTTTCCTCATTGCCAGAAGCCAGAGATGCCAGAGTATTTGAGGGCTCTCATACCTGATCTGATCTTTAAATAGTTTTAGTGTTACCTCTTCAGAGGGAGACACGCAAGAGCAGCATGAAAGATGAGCTAAGATAAAACCCCTTCTGGCTGGGCGTTGGTAGCGCACGCCTTTAATCCCAGCACTCCGGAGGCAGAGGCAGGCGGATCTCTGTGAGTTCGAGGCCAGCCTGATCTACAGAGCAAGTTCCAGGACAGCCTCCAAAACAATACAGAAAATCCCTGTCTCGAAAAACCAAACAACCAAACAAAAAACCCTTCTGGTCAGGAGACTGGAATTTCTGGCTTGGGTGGAGACCTAACATTCCATCTGAGGATCTGAGAGGGTCAACCACCAGGCCAAGCGCTCATCCCTAGGCAGTCAAGGTAGAGACAGGTGGCCTACTTAGTCCTTTCCTGAGGTGATGTGTTCTCCCTTTCCAGAATACCTGCCCCTACTTCAGCAGCTCACCCAGCTGCAACCATGAAGCTCAAGTCTGAACACCCATTTAACTGTCTCCTCTCTTCTCTTTTCCAAGCTCGCTTTCTCTAACGCTTCATGAGGCTGTTTATCCTCCATGGATCTGACCCCCAGGCTGGTACACACAGCATGGCTTTTTCGTTCTTTTCTCCATTGCCCTTCTTTTGACAGCTACTGAGACTTACAGCTTGCCTGCCTTGCGTTTTGTGGTTTTCCTTTTAAATATGAATAAAAAGTTCCTGAGCCTAAGCAAAAAATTCTTTGCAAATGATACTGAAGAAGGCAAATGTAGAAATATTGATATTAAATAAGAGAGATTTCAAGTTAAACACCAAGTAGAAGAGCTGGTAGTATTTTATACTTACATGAAGTACAATAACAACATATTAATGAACTTTTATTTACCTAAAATATATTTTTAAAATTTATACAGCAAAGGATAGATATTTTAAAAAAAGGATACCTGACAAATTAATGTTCATATGAGAAATCAGCATATCAAGTTGGACACTGGGGTAGAGAGAATTTTTACGAAAGAAGCAGGGACAGTGAGTTTATTGAGGAAAGGTGCACTCAGAGCCCTGAAGACTGGGGTGCTTCTGTCAACTGTCACGTGCTTGGGGGTCATCTGCAGAGTGTGACGTTTTCTACAGATGCCCTTCTGTTGCAGGTGTGGGTCCAGCTTCGTGGGCTTCCTGTCTCATTCGCCTCTTAAACTCCGCCCTGGAGCTCAGTAGTGATGACCCAGACACTGTAGAGTGCGACCTCTCCCACCCTTGGCCTCGGGGGAGGCATGGGTGAGGGTGAGGTTAGTGGGAGGCTGTTCTCACCTTCATTTTCACCAACTTGTTTTCATCCGCTAATTTTACAGCCTTTGCAAAGGCCTCCTAAATCTCCCCGTCTGCCCCAACCCTTGCCTCATACCACTTCTCAGAGTCCTGGTCTCGAAAGTCTTCTGGTAGAGTTCAGGACTACTTGTCTTTTATAACTACTTCTATGAACTATGCACTATCCTTGCCTTTGAAGGCCATAACTGTTAATCGCCAAGATGCAAGGAGAAAGACCACCGACTCAAATCATCATGGCCAAATTAAAGCAAGCAATTAATTAAAGCTTTTTTTTTTCTCGTGTACATGGGCTGTCTCCCTCTAAAGTGGGCTTCAAGATGTCAGCATTGGACATAAGGAAGACAAGATTTTTACAGCTCAGGGATAGAGACTTTCCAAATGGAGCATTTGGTGGCCAAATAGGTGGGATTATAGAAGCAGAGCATAAGAATAAACGTTAGTCATAACAACCTCCTGAAGCAAAGACATGGTTGCAAGGTGAGCATAACAAGGTTGTCATAACAACAGGTGGTCATAATAACCTTTTGAAACAAAGGCATGGTTGCGGTTTCTTGGAACAGGCAGTACACAACAATTTTTAGTTAAGGTTACAGGTTGGGCATGGACAAATCCTTGAGAAACAGAGATTTTATCACAAACATGAATGAATCCAGTTTGTTTTTACTATAAGATGGCTTTTCAGCCTAAGATGGAAGCAGGCTGGTTCATCAATAGCATCCTCCCAGGATAACTCAGTATATCAGATGGTTGCCTGGAATCCCTGCATCTCAAAACACTTAATCTGGAACTGCTGTGCTCTAGAAAACAAAACAAAAAAAAAAACATTTTCTGTAACCATTTGGCAGGTTCCTTGGGCTGCTGTTAGCATGTCTGGAACCATCAAGTGTTAATGGTACAGTTGTCTTCATTTTGGCTTCTGAGTTTAGGAGAAAGATCCCTCATAGTGTTATAAAAAAATACTAACGGGGAAAACATAAAAGATTTCTATGAAGGAATTCGATCTTGGGATATACTATAAGGAAAATATTATGAGGTTTTAAGTTATGACCTGTTTGTTGAAGAAAAATTTTAAGTCTTAGTAGTTCTCATGTCTAAGCAGCCTTGTCTTCAAGATCTCAGGAGAGGGGGAATGGGGACTATTATAGACAATAACTCCTGGAGTCTTTTTAGTCTGGGTGGGAAAGGCCTTTATCCATCCCGAGAAGGGTCAACAGACAATAGAAAATATATATGTAGTCCAGACAAGCTTGCTTACCAGCCTTGTGGCAGCTGCTATGGTTCATAAGCACGTTAGACACTCACATGTTACAGAGTAACATGTGGGACTCTAGGAACGACTCCTAACTTTTAAGTGAGGATATCAGAGTTTCAGGTTCTTAATAGATAGGAATTTAGTAAATAGAATCTTGTTTATCTTTGTTCTCTTAGCTGTCCTTGAAAAAAATTTCTTCCCAAAGTAACTTTCATTGGTAATTTATTTCCTATAATGGCAATATAAAGGAATTTTGTTGTGGTTTGAATGTAACTGGCCTCCATGAGCTCATAGGGAATGGTACCATTATGAGGCATGACTTTGTTGGAGTAGGTATGACTTTGTTAGAGGAAGTGTGTCACTGTCGGACAAGCTTTGAGGTCTCATATGTGCTCAAGATGCTGCCCAGTGAGACAAACCACTTCCTGTTGCCTCCTAGAGGTAAGACTCTCAGCTATTTCTCTAGTATCATGTCTGCCTACACATTGCCGTGTTCCATCATGCTGATAATGGATCAAACGTCTGAACTGTAAGCGAGCCGCCCATACTAAATCTTTTCCTTTATAAGAGCTGCTGTGGTTATGGTGTCTCTTCACAGCAATAAGAACCCTAAGACCAGTTAGCTATAAATATTGCTGTCAGATGCCCCTAGACATTTGTAATTGTATCCCTCATGGAAGAAGGTGAGGTTTGCTGGATCAGCAACATTCTGGATCAGCAGAGAGTGACCAGCAATATTCCACAAAAACTAGGAAAGTCATGTTCTAGACGCTATGAAAAATGCGACTGCATGGAAAGAAGTATATATGGGAAACAAACATAAAAACCAGGCTGGGGCTTAGAAGACAGTGCAGGGGCTAAAGTTCCTGAGCCTCAAGCATGAAGATGAGGATAATGTCCTCAGAAACCACGTAAAGCCAGATGTAGTCACTCATCTGTAATCCCCATCTGTCCCAAGATGGAAGATAGACATGCTAATCCCTGGAATTCCATGACCAGTTAACTTGACATACGCGATGGTAAACAAGAGACTTGCTTCAAAAAAGGAAGATGGTGGGAACCAACACTGGAGGTTGCCCTCTGAGATCCACACATGGCCTTTGTGTATGTGAACCTACACACACACACACACACACACACACACACACACACACACACACACACACAAAATTACAAATGCAAACTGAGGGGTGTCCTATAAAATGCTGATATACACTCATCAAAAATGCCACGTCATGACAAACAAGGTCAGGCATTAAGCCCTGTTGTAGACAGAGGACACAGGTTGACTGAAGTCAATGAGGAGCTCTACAAACAAGACATTAGTGTAAAAAACTAGTGAAATCCTGAGAAAATCTGGAGTTTAGTTCAAAGCAATGCATTAATTTCGGTTTCTTAGTTTTTGAAGTTTATTTAACTTTATTTATTATTACTGTGGTGTGTGCCCATAGGTCCACCCATGCCATCATGCACACGTGGAAATCAAAGAACGATTTGCAGTCAGCTCTCTCCCTTTGACTTTAGATGGCCTTGAACTCAGCTATGCAGGCTTACAGGGCATGCGCCTTCACTGGCGGAGCCCAGCTTGCTGGCCCTAGCTTCTCTGTGGGATCTGGAGTGCAAGATGTTTAGAAAGGGAAAAATGTTTACAGGGCATGCAGGGACGCCTGTGTCATCTTCACAGTGCTCCTGAAGTCTGAAATTACTCTAAAGAATGATGGAACTTAACAGAACAAGCTTTCGAAGCAGTCCAAGTTTGGATGACGGTGACCAGATCATTCCTTCTTAAACAACCCTGGGCATTCTTGAAGCCATCGAATCTTTTCTGTTTACTTTGCTTTTTCATTGTCTTAGTGTTCCTGCAGGGATTTTAATTTAATTCTCCAAGGGTAGGAAAAGGACTAGTGATCAATGGGATTTAATTTGAAAACTGAACTGTAAGTTTTTTTTCCCAGTCAGGTGAGTTCTGCTTCTAATTAAACAATCTGAAATTATGAAGCTTGTGAATTATGCCACAAAATAATAGGTAGAATGAGTTTATTATTCCTGTGAGCATCAGGTGTAAACTTTTTTCTTTTTTCAGAAGCTACCAGAGTAAACCATGAGGCACCAAGATGAGTTTTTAAATTTGAACTCACAGTTTTCACTCTAGAACTTTCAAATATATGTGGTACTATTTCATACTATAACTTTTCTAAAAATCAAAAGAAAAAATCTGCATATTGGAGGATTTTTTTTAAGTTTTGTGGCAAAACAGAATGGAGAACTGCAGTTTCTTTTTTAATTAAAGGACTAATTGATTAGCCAGGAATGTCTTTGTAAAACTGTTCTGACAACAGAGGAATTACTAAACTATTTTTTAAGTATGGCATATTAACTGTGTGGTAATATTGACAAGTTGCTTATTTTGATCATCTTTTGGAAGCTGTTTTTAAGAAGTTGGCTAATCAACATTGGATAATGCCATCTTATTTTTTCCAGAAGCTAGAGGAAATGAGTGGGGATTAACTTGAATGATGGATTGTCTTTGATGTGGGAAGTCCTTCTGTGTATATGTCAATAAAGCCAATAGGGAAGCAAGATAGATGGGACTAGGAGGATTCTGGGAAATGCAGTAAAGGAAGTTGTTGCCATGTGACTCCCGGGAAGAGGGGACACAGGTCTGCGTTCTTGGTAAGATAAGACCTTATAAAAATATATATTAGCAATTGTGGGTCAATAATTAAATCAGAGCTAGCCAATCAGAAACAATAGCAAATGGCCAACAGCTTCATAGTTAATATAGCCTCCTGTGTGTTCGTTTGGGACTGATGAGGCTCTGGAACCAGGCTGGCGGGAAGACTAAGACATGTTACATGTCTTAGTTATTTTTCTATTGCTGTGAAGAGACAGAATGACTAAAGCAACTTACAAAAGAGAGAATTACGTAGGCGACTTCCTTACAGTTTCATAGGGGTGAGTATGTGGCCATCACGGTGGCGAGCATGGCAGCAGACAGGCAGGTATGGCACTGGAGCAGTGACTGAGGCTTGACAAGCAGCTGATCTAGAAGCAGGAAGCAGAGACAGACACCAGGCCTAGTGTGGGCTTTCAAACCTCAAAGCCACACCTACCCCAATAAGGCACTCCTCCTAATCCTTCCCAAAACAGTTCCACCAACTAGGGACCAATTATTCAAATATATGTGTCTATAGGGATATTATTATTCAAACCACCACATGAGGAAAAAGTATTTAGGAGTATGTAAATAGAAAAGTAAAATATTTCAATATAGATGAATATAGCTTGAAACAGGAATGAATTGGTTTTGGTTTTAATTTTTATGCTTTTTATTTTCTTGTAGAATGTGCTCAAAAGCAAACCTGCCCATTGTGTACCAAAGACAAGAGAGTAAGTTAATTTTCTTATGAATAAATTGCCCTGGGAATGTTATAAGCTCACACATTTTCAGTTGTCACTGAAAGATGTGCTAAGTTTTGTTTCCTACACTTTTAGAGCAGAATGAGTGATGGCAGCTATGAATATATGTCCCTTTGCTATAAACTGTTCTTTGTGGATCTAGAATAAATAATGGAAATATTTTAGTACAAACATGTACTTCCATCTGGGAAATTACACATCAAGAAGAAAACAAGGTTTTGCTTGAAAAAGGAAATCACACCAAAATGTTGGAAGAAGTTTTATAGGCAAAGGAAAGATGTAGGTTTTGAAATATGGCATTTCCCCCCCCCCACCATTTCTAATCTCTAAAGACTAGGAAGAATTGACAGACAGTCTTTAACTGCCGTGTAACTAAGGTCTCCTTCTCTGATGATTAAATGTCTTTTATTATGGCTTTTTTCTTACTTCCAACTTTGAAGAAAGCAACAAACAAGAAACCCCAACAGTGATGAAGTAAATACCAATTTGTACACAGCTGTGCAGCAACACTTGAAAAACCATTCAGATCTGACCTTTCTGATATCACTGACAAGGACAATTGGCTTATAACAAAGGGACACAATCTGGTGATGGTGTCTTTCGTAGAGGTCTGGACAAGTATTATCTGCTTCTGCCCTCTTCCTGGTCGCTCTGTGTTTGAATGGGGACCTGGGCTGCCCACCACGTTCCTGGCTTTCCTCAGACAGCCCTGACTCAGACACACGCTGTCTCCGTGTGCACTTTCTTAACTCCAAGGCTGGGATAACAGGGAAAGCACAGTGCTCTGAGTCCTGAAACACCTATGGTGCCCATTGCTTCCTCTTTTCCTGCCACTGTACCTGTGCTTATGCCTCAACCAGATAAGACTATCTACCAACCCTCCCACTCAGTCCTTTAACCCTCCCACTTTTCCTTCCGGTGATCCACCCTCCCCTGAAGGGCTCCCTTGCTTCTTGTGAATTCTAATGCTACTCACATGAATTCATTCCCCCACCTTGTTGTTAATTGTTTTTCAATGTAAAACTTTAAGCATGAAGTAGAGGAAACATACTTGGAGACTATGGTGTGAGCTCCTTGTCCTTCCGATTTAGGAAGCTGAGGCGGGGGATGGCTTGAGTCTAGGAATTGAAGGCTAGTTTACACAACTAAAAAGAACCCTGCCTTTAAAAAGTATTATAGGAGACAGTATAATAAAACTGTATACCACCAAGGATCGTCTTGGGAAACTTTGTCTCATGAATGTCCCCTCTTTCCAAGTAGATTATTTTGAAGTCAATAATTATATGGATATCATTTTATTTGTACATATTTGACCCTCTATATATGTCTTTAACAAAGACTTTAAAGTATTGCATCTATAATCATATTTAGAAACCAACAACTAGTTACCCAGTTTTTTGTTTCATATTTATGTTTGTTTAAATCAGATCCACATACTGTAGTTGGTTGATACATACCTTAAGTCTCTTTGAGTATATATATTCTTTTTTCTCTCTCTTTTTCTGTATTGCAATGTGTTTGTTACAGAATAGATTGTTGTCCTGCTGAGCTCACTATAGGCTGGGTTTTGCTGGTCACATTCACATTATGGCCTTATCATGCTGTTTCCCTTCTCCTGTTTTTATAAGGTTGTAACGAGACATAAAGGACTGATGAGATTCTGTAGGGGTTTTTGGCAGCAATGTCTCATGCTGAAGACTCATTAGAAAGCTGATAAGGCTGTGGTCTGGCCTTTGGTGATGTCAGCAGTAAATGATGTTTTCTTTACTAATATCCATTGTATCCTCAGGGGCTACAAAAGCTACATTAATATACCTGCCTCCCTGTTTGAGGCCACTTACACTGCCCAGCTCTGATTGGTCCTCTGGTCTTTCTGTGTTTCAGTGCTATGCATTACTAGCTGATTACTGCACAAGCACATTATATCAAAGCCCTCGTTAGTACAGCTACTAGGGCCACCTGATCCCAGATACTGCCTATTATTTGCTCTTTCGGCTAGCAGCATTTCCTAAGAATGGCCATAGTAAAATTCCAGAACGTTATAACCATCCTTAAGATGGCAATATTATCCCTCACCTCTCAAATCTCAAAAGGTGACTTGATCTTTTGTTTTTATAGACAAAAACCTTGGGTATTAACTTTACTCACCAAATTGAAGGTGAAGATGTAATTATACCACTAGACCCAAGATAAACGATAAATGGTTGTTTATTGGGGAACACTTACACAGAAAAATACAAAGAACTGCTGGAGTGTTTCCTTACTCTCCCTACTCGATCTGATGACCTGCCAAAAAGAGCACTCAAAGGAAAGCCATGCTTCAAGCTCCTCTCTATCCTCTTTTGTCCACCTGAAGCCACACCCAAAGGGGCGTGGCCACTGTTAAAGGTTCACAGACCAGATGCCTACATCAAATTATAGAATGGCTGTCATTTTTAGTCACAATTGCATAACCTTAATGTTTTTCCTTAAAGGTTTAATGTCCCCTGAAGTTCTACCATACTTTTTTTTAGACTTACACTTTTGCAACTTTTAATTTTCTTTCATATGATATATACATATATATATATATTACTGTAATATTTCCTCTGTTCTCAGTTCCCCACGAACAAAGTCAGTGTTTTATTCACTGTTTTATCAATACATGTCACATATTTCCCAGCACACATTTCTAGTTATTGAATGGGAAACATTCAATAACTATTGAGTTAACTCTTGAGCTATTAGAAGAAGCTTAAATTACATTCAATACACTCTAATGTAACAAGGTAGAGAATTTATCTTAAAACATTTCTACACATAAACCATCATGACATGTCACGTCTGCTGCGCGGCCTGTGTCCGAGAACGTGCGGAGGGTGTCGGGTATTGAAAACACAGAGACTCGTTCAATGATATAAAGAGAACTTTAAACAGGCTCCAAGAAGGTTCAAGAAAAACTTCCTAAGAAAAGCTCCCACCAGAGAAGCTTCTGCTCTCTCCTCTACCCTGGCTGGTTCTGCTCTGACACCAGAGGTGGATGTGTGTGGGTTTTTGAAGGTGCGGTTAGTCTCTGGACAAGGTCGAGGTCAGGGCGGTTTCCGTGGGAAGGCCTTTCCCAGGAACTTATTGTATCATTTTTAGTAAACATATTTTTACTAAACATTGTCTTACAGCTGCCTACTCCCAGGCAGAAGGGGAAATGGCCAGAAACTTACTATATCGTTTTTAGTAAACATGTTTTTACTAAACATTGTCTTACAACTGCCTACTCCCAGGCAGAAGGGGAAGTGGGTCTCTGCTCAAGGTCTGGTGTTCCCACAATGACATGTCTGGAGATGTTCATATTGGAGGATAATGTGAAAATGATTCCCGCGGTCTCATAGGAATTAATGAAAGGATAACTCTGCATGGTCAATGCAGAATTAGAGTGTTGTCTTCTGAATAAAGAGCCTCTGTCCTAATAGCTGGAAGGAAGGCCATTTTCATTTAAAGATTTTATCACTTTCCACACTGCTACAAAGATATAGTTTATAGCTGGCTATTCCTAAAGCAACCAAGAACATTTGCATTCTCCTTGGAGTCACATAGGATGAACAGGTGTTTGACATATCTTGGAACACCCTACTTTATGTTCATTGTTCCATTTACCTCATGAAAATTTTCACACCAGCACCTAATTTCCTTCAAACATTATAGTTTGGGTTTGTATAGTGTATATTCTCAGTTAAAAGAAAAACTTAGATTTTGTTTGAATATTTTCCTTGCAGCCTAATAGCAAAGACCAGCCTTCCTAGAATTAGAAAATATTCTTGCCAAAAACAAACCCATGAAAAGAAACTTATTTAAAACTTTACCCTCAACGCACTACTCACAAACACAGCGTATGAAATAGTAAATGCTGGGGCTGGGGAACTTGCTAAGTGAGGAAAGCACTTGCTCTGAAGCGTTAGGAACTTAGTTAGCATCCTGAGGACCCATGAAAAATGCCATGATGGCATGATTTATAATCTCAGGGCTGGATAAGCCAAGACAGGCAAATCCCTGGGGCTTTGTGGTCACCCTGGGGCCTGGGAGAGGTCCTGTGTCAAAACTAAGGGGAATGCCTCCTGAGGAACACCACCTAAGTTGATTCCTGGCTTTCACACGCATACACACAATCAATCTTTGAACACACACACACACAACACATACACACACACTCATGCACTTACACACCACTAAAATGTTGATATATTTCTTCCACTAAAAGTAAAACTTCAAAAACCATGTCAACTAAAGCAAGGTAAGCATTATTTGCTTGTCTTTTGTTGCTGTTTAGAGTTTTATGTATCACTGTTGATTCTTTGAAATGATAGTTCTCAATCATGATGCCACAGTAGTGAGACTGCTCTTGACTAATGGGAATGATAAAGGCTGAATTTTTCACTGGATTAAAAAATAACTCAGAGTAGATTATGCTCTACTCTTGTCTTTCTCATTCATTGTATCCTGATATGGATTATTGTTCAGAACAGAAAGGAATGGCATTATAGAAAGGTAAAGGGGACTTGCAAATCTCTCATGATACTTATGTGTTGACTAGCTCACATAGAAAGGCTGTTATTATATGATTGTCAAGCAAAATGCATTTATAAATGCTGTGCATACTATATTTGTCTTTCTGGTTTTGGGTTACCTCACTCAGGATGTTTTTTCTAGTTCTGTCAATTTGCCTGCGAATTTTAGGATGTTATTGTTTCTTACTGCTGAGTAGTACTCTACTGTGTAAATATAACACATTTTCTTTATCCATTCTTCAATTGAGGGGAATCTAGGTTGTATCCAAGATCTAGCTATTATGAATAATGTTGCTATGAGCACAGTTGAGCAAATGTTCTTCTGGTATGAATGTATCTCCTTTGCAATACCCAACAGTGGTATTTCAGGGTCTTGAGTTAGGTTGATCCCTAATTTTCTGAGACATTGTCATACTTATTTCTACAGGGGCT